ATCCAAAGACCAGATCAGCATACATCATCCTGAACTTTTCTCAGCTCCCTTTTAGCCCTTAAACAAATGCTTATTTTTGTCTTACCGTTCTGGACAACACTTATCAAGGTGACGATGGCGAGCAGGGCAATGCTTCCCAGGGTTTCCTGGTCCATTTTGCAAGCGGGCTGTCGGGGTGGACGGTGCAGCCTTGGTGGCAGCTCAGCCCTGCAAGCACAGAAGGAGGAAGTGAAGGTCTTTCTTATCTTGAATCGTGAAACACTTCCTATGGCTTCACAGGAGAGTGGCAGCACATTGCACTCAGGTGCCTGTCAGACCAACACAGCCACAGACTCACTCACTCACTCATCATATACAGATGAAGCCCAGAGAAACAAGAGATTATATGTCTGTCATCTAAGAGGATATATAATGTGGAAAGATACCTGTTGCACTTCCTGCAAAATAGCAACCCTGATATCTAAAGTATGTCTGAGCATTTGGCTAGCTGTGTGGAACAGCAGAAACAGAAAGGCTGGAAGAGACCAGCCAGTCTATCATGTCATTGCCTGCAAGTGCCCGACCACCCCACAAGTAGCTGGGAGGAGAAATAATGTTGGCGAGTCTCAATAACACTGCTGCTCTCAGATGTGTGCCCTCCCTGGTCACATCTCCATCAGCCTCGCCAGTGAGGAGACCCCAGGTCTCCAGGTCACAAGCAAAAGCTCCTGATCCATCTGGCATATTTGAATGGGCAGTACACAAATGCTGTGAGCATCACGGGTGGGCACAGAAATACGTCTTTCATTACCAGGGATGGATCCTGCATCCTTTCCCCTACAAATAACTCCCTGGAAGACAGTGACAGCTGCCAGCATTCAGCATTTTAGAGGCTCAGACTTCACAGTTGTACCCCAATTTTAGTAGTCGAAGCCCAATATGGCTGAACATAATTGCTGCACCATGTTCACGCCTCGGCTTCAACCCCGTGACAGAGATGGCAGGGAAGCACAGGCCACGGTGTTGGATGGCTGCAGAAAGTCCCACAGCTTCTGTCAGATCACTGGAAAGCATCCTCATCCAAAGTGCACATCACTTGCCACCTGTGACTGCTCTGCTCCCTTTTGCCCATATTCTGATGGGGAAAAGCCTTATGAAAAATCCTTAACTTTAGTACGGATTTAACACTAATAGAAGTAACATTTTCACTGCACTGAGCCCTGGACAAATTTTGCCCCATCTGTCTGTCTGTCTGTACTCCACCGCATGCTATCCAGAAGGTCTGAGTGCCGCCCGGCATCCAAACCACGGCCGGATAACTGGTTACCTCTCTGGATGGGACACAGCCTGGTAGGACTTCCCAGCAGGTGCCAAGCTGCGAAATCCATCTTGTTCAATGTGGACACATTTACCTACAACGGTGTTTTTAATCAGTCTATCATGCAAATTATCATCATCTGTATTATGAGATATGGAAAACTCTGAGGTACTTTGGGTACAGGCAAATATATAGAAACACGCTGGCTGAGGGTAGGTGATTAACGTTGTGAGTTGTGACCTTCCGTTAACTTAATAGAGGAAGGCTGTCTTTCTAGGATACTTTCCCTATAGTCCACGCAGACACAACTGTGTGAGCAGCAAGGCCATAAATAGTATCTATGTTGAGATTTGGCCTTTTATTAGGCCAAATGCTTTTATTAGGACTGAAGTCCTCTTTTTCCCCACAAAATGGCCTTTTCTTACTCGAGCATCAAAGTTTATGTTTTGTGGTCTACTGAGCACAGGATTGTAGCTGGTATTTAAGGATGGTATTTAATGCTAAGCTTCTACTAATTTCCTGAAGAGGAAAACCCATCACCTAAAAGCAGTTACAGAATTAAGTCAAGAGAGGAATATTGTCCAAGCGGAGACCAGTGCCGTGACTGTGAAGAAAGGACCTGTGCATGGACATGGGTAGGCAGGAGGGAGCTGCTGATGGGAGAGGGCGAGGAGACAGCGCAGGTCCTCAGGGCATCTGCAGCAGGACAAATCCCAGCCGTCCTCCCACGGCAGGCACTGATCCTTCTCTTTTTTCTGGCTGTTTTACACCAGTGTAAACTTACCAGGCAGCTTGAGGCTTGCTTTTACAAGGGGCATTAAAAGCAGATGAGCCTGCTCTGAGATCTCCTCCAACTTGCCACGAAAATGCACACGCTTCCCTGCTTTCAAAGACTTCCCAAAGGTGGCTTCAGTTTGGCAGGAGTCTCATATTAAAAGGGGTAGGAATCAGGCTGCTAAGGTCTGAAGTTGCCATAATGCCAAAAAAAAAAAAAAAATACCCCCATGTGCAGGCCAGGTTGCGAGGGCTGGGCTGCCCATGCCTTCGCTTTCGTCCTGCTCTTTGTTTTCCACCTCTTTGCTTTCCTGCAGCTCAGCTCCTCTCACCGTAACCTCATCCCCGCTTTGCTCTTCTGTTCTGCCCCTTCTGATTCCCGCCTGTCCCCTGGCACCGCTCGGCGCCGCAGGATCTGCCGGCGGCACCAGCGCTTTGCTGGAAACCCAGCCCATTATTTCCTCTTGCTGAGGCTCACTCCAAAGTCATCCCTTACGTATGCGTGGAGGAAAACAGGGCTTCGCCCTCCTCCCTGAAAAAAAAAAAACCCAACAATGACATCAACTCCAGGGCTCGCTAAGGTGATTTCTGGGTGTGCAGGGAGAAAAAAAGCTTTGCCAGCGAGAATCTGTGTGGTATGGCTGCCTTAAAATAAGAACTGCAGGTTTTGGGGGGTTTTTTAAGTGCAACATCACCCCGAGGGCTCTGCTTAAGGAAAAGCAGAGGAAATCAAGAGGTTATGAGAGACACTGAAGAAGAAGACCCGTCCCTTTACCAAGGCAGAGCAACACTGTTTTAAATATGGTCAGACAGAGCAGAAACCCCTTGGGGAGGGAATATTATCTTTTCATACCCCTTGGTGCTGGAATAGCTGCAGGATGGAATGAGGTTCTGGCAATTTTTTTGCAGTTTGGGGAATGGCCTTGGCAAGGGAGGACTAAGGTGGAGCCAAAATGACTCTGCAAACAGCTTCTGCCATACCTACACATTAAACTGTTCCCTCTCCCTGAGACCTAAACATCTGGGTGGCTCTTGCCTCCTCTTTTGTGGGATACGCACAGGATCGCTGTCTGGGTCAGGCAAAGTTAGCACCACCTGAAAACACTGTCCACCTGGGAGAAAGATTGGTACAAAACACCTTCATCATATCCCACCTGGCCATTTGAAATAGGGGATTTTCTCAAGTAGGCAAAAAAAAAAAGGTGGAAAGGTGCCTGCATCCGCTGTAACTCCCAGTTGCAGTCGTGTTCTCCAGGCACAGATAATTCTGCACATCAGCAGCTGCCGTCAGACCCCAGCCCTTCTGCTTGCTGCATTGCTATTGGAAATCCACATCTTCCTGTCTGAGGAAGATAACCTTGACACAGTGAGCCATAAAGCTCATGAAAATGTGCAAAGCCAGCAAGCTTTTCCAGTTGCGCTGTGAGGCTTCCTGCACATTAATCTCCTCCTCTGGAAATCTTTAACAGCCAGTCAAAATAATCCTTTCGTAGAATTGCTTTCATACTGAAGAGGAAAGGACTGGGAACACAGATCTATAAATATCTTTTAGGATGTTCATCTCTTCTCTCCTCTCATGCACGCTGCTCAGTGCTCGGCTGCAAGGACTCCAATGAAAGTGTGTCCCCTAATAAAATAAAAGCTGCTCCTGTGAAGTTCCCGTATATAAATGTCAGGCGACACACAGCCGTCATGCTTTATCATAAATGCAATGGGACACAAGCCCCTTGGACTGGCTGGTTAATATTAGCACACTGCTTTGAAAACTTAAAGCGCCACAGAACCACCAAATACATAGTACATATACATACGTGTGTGTGACTACCTGCCATCACATCAGTCTGTTCAGCATCGCATCCTTTCCGAAGCCTGACAAAACCCGAAAGGAGAGCATGAACAGAGCTGGAAACATGAAGTGCAACTCGAAGAAAAGGGCAACGCTGCAGTTTTTTAAATGCTGTCTTCATTTTGCACAGCCAAAAGAATGACACCGTGGGAGAAATCAGAGCGCTGCCTTGAAAACCCCTCCCTCTCCACATGTCCAAGACTTCATCCTTTTCGTTACTATCTCCATACTCCATTTGCCCGGATTCAGCTCAAAACACAGCACGTGAAGACAGAGGCCATAGACCCTCTGGGCCCCTGGTGCAGCCTCCTCCTCACCCCCCATGTCTCACCCACAGCTCTCCTGAAAAACATTTGCCTTTTTCTATGGGCGCCACACTGCTGACATCCCTGCGGCTGTGCTTCACCCTCAGGTCCATTTCTGCAGCGCTCCTGCCTCTCCAGCGAGCCCCATGTAACCGAGTTTGTGCACTGGGGCTCGCCTTCCCCAGAGCGGTTGTTTGGGCTTATCTTTATTGAATTTCAGTGGGTTGAGCCTGGAGTGTTGCTGCAATGTGGCGAGACCAGTTTGAATCCGAGCCCCTCCACCAGGATGCTGGAAACCCGCTGGAAACTGGTATTTTCTCTGCCATTGGGAGACCAGAGAGTTGAGCGGGGTCTAGGACAGCCCCTTCTGAGGCCTTTTTGGAAAAGCCCCTCTGATTTCCCAGGAAACTATTGATTAGTAGGATTTGAGCGGTGCCCAATGAGTGGCAGAGCCACCTCATGGGGATTTCCTCTCTGTCGTCTCTCCCTCCCTTGCTTCCAAGAAGCAGCTTCTCAGCAGCCATTGTGATACCATGTGGTGTCACCGTGGTGGCTTCCAGACAGCCCCGGCAACCAGCCACCCTGTGACAGGAGGAAATTCACAGAATCACAGAAGAGTTGAGGTTGGAAGGGACCTCTGGAGGTCATCTGGTCCAACCCCCCTGCTCAAGCAGGGCCACCTACAGCCGGTTGCTTAGGACCATGTCCAGATGGCTTTTGAACTTATCCAAGGATGGAGACTCCACAACCTCCCTGGGCAACCGGTGGCAGTGCTCAGTCACCCTCACAGTGAAAAAGTGTTCCCTGATGTTCAGGGCGAACCTCCTGTGTTTCGTTTTGTGCCCATTGCCTCTGGTCCTGTCACTGGGCACCACTGAAGAGAGCCTGGCTCCATCCTCTTTGCACCCTCCCTCCAGGTATTTATGCATATTGATGAGATCCCCCGAGCCTTCTCTTCTCCAGGCTGAACAGTCCCAGCTCTCTCAGCCTCTCCTCATAGGAGAGATGCTCCAGTCCCTTCATCATCTTTGTGGCCCTTCACTGGACTCTCTCCAGTATGTCCATGTCTCTCTTGTGCTGGGGACCTCAGAACTGGACCAGCACTCCAGGTGTGGCCTCACTAGTGCTGAGTAGAGGGGAAGGATCACCTCCCTTGACCTGCTGGCAACACTTCTCCTAATGCAGCCCAGGATACCATTTGTCTTCTTTGCTGCAAAGGCACATTGCTGGGTCATGTTCAACATGGTGTCCATCAGGACCCGCAGGTCCTTTTCGGCTAAGCTGCTTTTCAGCTAGGCAGCTCCCAGCATATATCGGTGCATAGGGCTGTTCCTCCCCAGGTGCAGGATTTTGCATTTTTCCTTGTTGAACTTCTTGAGGTTCCTGTCAGCCCATTTCTCCAGCCTGTTGAGGTCCCTCTGGGTGGCAGCACAACCCTCTGGCGTATGAGCTACTCCTCTGAGTTTGGTGTCATCTGCAAACTTGCTGAGGGTACGCTCTGCCCCATCATCCAGATCATTAATGAAGATGTTGAACAGGACTGGACCCAGTATTGATCTCTGGGGTACACCACTAGTTACTGGCCTCAAACTAGACTTTGTGCCACTGATCACCACCCTCTGGGCCTGGCCATTCAGCCAGTTTTCAATCCACCTGTCTGCTCATCCAGCCCATACATGAACAGCTTTTCTGTGAGGATCTTACGGGAGACAGTGTCAAAGGCCTTACTGAAGTCCAGGTAGACAATATCCACTGCTCTCCCCTCATCTACCAGGCCAATCACTTCATCATGGAAGTTTATCGAGTTGGTCAAGTGTGACTTCTTGGTGAAGCCATGCTGACTACTCCTGATGATTTCTTTGTCCCTGGTGTGCCTGGAGATGGTTTCCAGCATTAGCAGCTCCACCACCTTCCCAGGGATTTAGGTGAGGTTGACCGGCCTGTAGTTCCCTAGGTCCTCCTTCTTGCGCTTCTTGAAGATGGGGGTGACATCTGCTTTCCTCCAGTCCTTGGGCACTTCTCCCAGTTGCCATGATCGATCGAAGATGATCAAGAGTGGCCTTGCAATGACATCTGCCAGCTCCCTCAGCACTTGTGGGTACATCCCATCAGGGCCCAAGGGCTTATGTATGTGCAGGTTGCTTAAGTATTCCCTGACCTGATTCTCATTCACCAAGGGTATGTCTTCCTTGCTGCAGCTTTTCCTCTCAGTCTCTGGGACCTGGGATTCCTGAAGGCAAATTACACTACTTTAGCATGATTTGGTTTCCACGACTCACGTTAGCTGTTGTTATCACCTTTTAGGTGGCTGTAAATTGATTGTTTAATAATTCATTTTATAGATCTTTTTAGAGCTGAAGCGAGGCTGCCTGGGCAGCAGTTTCCCCTCCACTCCCCTTTGAGATGTTTCTTTTGCCCTGACTCGTTTCTGTCAGTGTTTCCACTTTCCATTAACTCTTGCAAATAATTATCACAGATCTTTAAATGGTGTGGGATGAATTTTGTCTTCTGTTCCTCAAGTCTCTGGTCACAACTAGTCCTTTTAGTATTGAAATTACAGGAAGAAAAGACGTTGGCTACTTTGGCCAACGTGTATTAAGTAATAAGCCAATGCTCATTTTTGTCTTCTTCGTACTCGGCATATTCTCTGAGAGCTTTCGCTTGCTGGCTGGTCTGTCTCTGAAAGAAGCTGTCAGGCTCCCATCCACAGTTGTCCTGCCAATAGACATAACTTTAAAACCTATTTTTTTCTGCTTGTTTACTGTTTCCCTCTCCCTTGCTCCTGTAGGAAAGGCCACAGAAACAACAGGGAAAAAAAGATTGAAAAAGCGAGCAGACACCAGAGCTGGCGATTAAAAAACCCAACCCACCATCACCAACCCAAAGCGCTGTAGGAGAAGCGGCAGGAATACAAAGCGAAACTCTCCCGGGGACTCCTCCCAGCGCGGAGCCGTTTCGCAGCGGAGGTGACAAAGGCAGCTCCGGGCGTGCGTGGGCAGAGCCCGCCGCTTCCCGCGGGGACGCGCAGCCGCGGCCTCCCCAACCGG